TGCCCACAGAAACTCAGTGGGGGCTGTCGCAGGCTTCCCGAAGGCCAGGGAGTCAGGCTGCTTCAACGCTTCATGCAAGGGTTTTTCCTAATTTGGTTTGCTGACTCGCCAAATGTTTGATGCCCCAAAGCCACGTGCGTGAGGCTTTTCTGATGTCCCCCTTTTCTGATGTCCCCCAGCCCCTCCCGGTCCGTACCCCCTGAGGGGGCTGGAGCGGCCCATCTCCTGTTCTCTGCACACCGTGCCTCCTTTCTTCTTTAACTGCTTATTGTGAATTGAGTCAAGGTGCACCGAGCCAATCCGTTCTCCGTGCAACACCCTGTGTGCACGTGGTTTCATGGCACCCATCCCAGTCCTCCCGGCGTAACATCGCCCATCCCACTTCTTCCGTGGGATTTCCTGTTTCCATTTCTCCCTTTTCCCTAATCCTTTCTGCCGTCTGAACCTTGTCCTTGGGCAAATGCTGCCCCTGGCATCCCAAATGGTTGATTATTCTAAGGGTGTGCACCTCCCTGGTGTGCCTGCTCACCTACCAGACCTCTCTCTGGCTTGGCTGAAAATGAGCCATGGGGTGCGTTCAGTTCCAGGTCTGAAGGGTGACTGGGAGTCAGAGGCTCGGGGGTTCCTCCAGGCTGTACCCAACCCGTGAGCCTTTTTCTCCCCCTTTATCTGGGACATCCTCTGTGATCTCTCCAGAGTGGTCAGCAGTGGTAACCAGGGTCTAGTCTCAAGGTCACAGAGACCAGGATGCACATGGACCCCTGCGCCTTTGGACTCATTATCTCCTCGTGTCCTGCATTGGCTTCACTCGTCCTTGCTCTGCACAAGGAGAAAGCAATCGTTGCATCTGATGCGTCCGCTGGGAAGCTTTCAAGACTCCAGTCCCTACGTGCTCCAAAGTAGGAAGTAGACCCTTGCCTTTGTGACGATGCCATGCCAGTGACCTTGTGCACATCGTGTCTTGTCACTTCCCTGAGGTGCTCACGTGTTGAGGGAGACAGCCAAGAATGGCCTGTGTCTCAGGTGGAGGGTCCTGTCCCTCTTGCAGTAGCCATGGCAGGCAGGGGCCTTTGATGAGCCACCAGCTTCCCCTCTCTCTGGGATCTCTGAGCTGCATTGGCATTGGGCTGGGCGGTGGAGCTCTTAGCCTACAAGAGGCCAGACTGACCCGAAGGCCCCAGGTTTGCTAGCTGATCCCCTGTCAGGATGGAAACTCAAGAGGAGTAGCCCCCATCCCTCTCCAGTGAGCAGACCCGGCCACATCGATGCCCAGCCACCCAAGAGACAAGTGTACTTGCAACACATGCACACAATTCTCCCGAAACCCCAGCCTGTCAACAGAATTAATTACATGCTGTCTCTTTGCCAACCCTTTGGCCCTTTAGGCGAGACTATCAGATTCTATTTGGAGAATTGTGTGTCGCTGCTGCCAGATGCAGTTAGAGCAAGAAGGGGCACGGCGCTCACCGTCTTAGAAAAGGCAGTCCCTCTAGTCCAGCCGCAGTGTGCTCAGGGCTTGTCAATGCAGCACTGCCCTGCGACCTCTCACTGTGGGTCGTTCTGCTTTGTGGGAGATGTGGAGCCCTGTGAAGAAGGCCACCCCCCAGAAATGCGCTGATCCCTGCAGCTCAGGTGGAAATGCGTTTCCACACGGCTGCGTTGATGGCTGGCTGGAAGTGGAGTGTGGGGTGTGGGGCACGCCAAGGGAACAGCCTGTGCGATGCTCGGGGTGCAGTCCGGGTGGTGGGTGAAGGTGGTTCGTGATAGGATTATTTCGTCTGTGCTGCAGGTTTGCACATGTTCATAGCATGTTATGGGCGTGGGGGGAGAATGACCCCACTCCCCTCACCCCCTGTAGTGAACCATTTTCATTTAAAACGGACTCGACCAATGGGGTCCCTGAGGTCCAGTAATGAGGGGGCTTCGGGATTGGTTCTCTTCCTTTTGGGAAGAGTTCCGGTGGGGTGTGGGGGAGGGGCAGAGCTTGCTGTGTACTGAGGGAGGCAGGGACAGGGCCACCTGCCAGGATGAGCGCTTTCCTGTCCCCCCCCCCTCAGCCCCCCAGAGATGTAACCTGTGAGCTTCAGGGGTCCCGCGACTCATCCAGCACCCCAGCTTCTAAGTAGCCAAGGCCGCATTCCGCAGCGTCCTCCTGGCCTGGGTCTGGCTCTCCTCCTCTCTCCCGGAATACTAGGCATACGCCCCCGCTGCTGCCTGGTGGACACGAGGGAGGACAGGCTGCTGGGCCGCCTCACCGCAGAGCCTGTCCATACACTGAGCTGGCAGCCTGGGCCCTCCAGATGGTCTCGCTGCTGCCCACAGATCCAGGCTGGACCTAGCTGGGCAGACCGGGGGAGGGGAAAGGGGCGAGAAGTAAGGGAAAGCTTCCGGAGCGGGGGTTCTGACCTATATTGTGGGTCACACCTTTGGCGGTCACAGAGAAGGTACTGGGGTAACTGACTTAGATGTGGAAGCAAAATGCAAGGAACCCCCCACCCCACCCGCCGTGTGCGTGCACACACTCGCATACACACACACACACACACCATCCCTTCTCTCTCTGGTCTCACACTGTCCGTAAACACAGACACATGGTTGGACTCCTGTGGGTCTTAGCAGGCTGGCATCAGGAAGGGAAGTCGGCTGCAAACACAGCACAGGGGTGAGTCTTTGGGAAACAGCGCGGGTACCTGGAGCACTGCCCTCCACCCCTGTGAATCTGGGCATTGAGAGCCCGCCCCCTTGCTGTCCAACTTGGGTTGACCCTGCTTTGCACTGCTTAGTGCACATGTCTGCAGAAGCTCCGGGTGGTGCCCAGCCCCTCCCGACTGCAGGCTGTGAGAGGCTCCCTCCCGCCTGGAGGAGCAGGGCCGCCCTCCAGGGGCTTTGGTCTTGGCCATGTCATGCTTGGCACTCGGTCCGCAGAAGGAACCCTGGCTCCCACACTGAGGGCCCTGGGCTCTGATGCCAGTTGTCTGAGCTGAAGCCTGGCACTACTGCCACCAGCTGTCTGAGCTTCATCTAGCTGCAGCTCCCTGCCCTCCGTCTCTGACCCAGTGTCATCTCTCGTAAACCAAGGAGGATGACCATACTACCCCCACCTCATCTGATTTGTTTTATTGACCATTTTATTGACTATAAGGCACTCGTTTGTTGTTTGTTGCCTTCCAGTCTGTTCCGATTCATCGCGACTGTGTGCAACAACACAAAGCCTCCCGCGGTCCTTCCCCCGCTAACCCACCACCAAGGGTGGAGCCTCCGTCTGGGAACCGGTCCACCCAGTAGCCTGTCCAGAGTACGGGAGGCACAGTTGCACCATCCTCACGTCGAATGAGCCTCCCGACTGTATTTCTTCCAAGCAGACTTGTTGGGTCTCTGGCAGCCCATGGGATGGTCTATATTCTCCACCAGGCCCCCAATCCCAGTCCCGCAGTCCTTCTGTTGTCCATCCGTCCGCATTCATTGTCCGGCCTTTGCCTGCATTTGAGGGGATTGAAAAGACCAGGGCATCAGTCAAGTGTGCCTTAGATCTGTGAATTTGTTATGTGACACGTAAAATGATCAGAATAGGGTCTGGCACACATGTGTTGGCGGGTGGGGGGGGGGCCTTTAAAAGGTTTGTGGGAGAATTCCATTATTTATTTAATTTTCTTTTTCATAAGCTTTTTGGAATCCCCTCGCCTACGTACCCTGGGTAGTATACACAGCTAACACCCTCGGCTGTTAACTGAACGGTGGGCGGTGTGAGCCCGCCCAGCAGGACCTGAAGAAAGGCCTGGTGCTTGACTTCCCCGAACATCAGCAGGAAAACAGACCTCCACGGAGCTCCACTGTTTCGTTTTCACATTTTATTGGGGGCTCCTACAGCCCTTACCACACTCCAGCCATCCATCCATCCATTGTGTCAAGCACGTTTGTGCATTTGTTGCCAGCATCATTCTCAAAACATCTTCTCTCTCCTTGAGCCCTTGGCTGGTCATTCATGGAGCCCAGCTGTGTTCTGACCACAGAGACGCCATGAGTCTCAGCGTCAGCTCGGGGCCAGCCTGTGCGAGTGTCAACTGCTGTTGCCACACAGCCTCCTGCCTCCGGGTGCAAGTCTCCCCTCTGACAAGGGCCTCCTCGTTACACCCGGCCCAACCAGCCCACCCAGAGCTGCATTCCCTGGCTGGTAGCTAGCCCTGCTCCATCTTCACAGCCAGCCAGGCAGCACCTTGTTTCTGCCATCACACTGCCTCCTCCTGTTTAAGAAAAAAAAAATAATAATTTTATTGGGCGCTCTTACAGCTCTTATAACAATCCATGCATCAGTTGTATTAAGCGTATTCGTACAAAGGTTGTCATCATTGTTTTCTAAACATTTACTTTCTATTTGAGCCCTTGGTATCAGCTCCTCCTCGTGCCCCTCAACCCTCATGACCCCTTGATAAATGGTAAATTATTATTATTATTTTCATATCTTACACGGACCACTGTCTCCCTTCACCCACATTTCTGTTCGTCCCCCTGGGTGGGTGGGTGGGGGGGGGTTATGGGTCAATCACTGCGGTTGGTTCCCAAGCTGCCTCCTTCTGTAGTCAAATCTCCCCCTCTTATAAGAGACCCTGCTTTATCGCATCTGCAAAGTCCCCTTTGCCATGGAACCTAACATTCCCACTGTCCAGGGGTTAGGACGCAGGCATCATTGGGGGGGGGGGGGCGTCATTATTCAGCCAAGCGCAACCACTGAGGCAGGTAGCGGAAAACCCTCCAGCTCCTGGTCCTGGCAGATTGGCCAAATTCCAGACCAACGTGGGCCCAGCCAGACCAGATGCCTACAGCACCCCCTGCAGTCGATCCTCTGCTGTAGTAGCGCACCCCCGCGCCCTCCCCCACCCTCGGGCAAGATCACCAAGGCCAAGGCAGAGCCCCTGAATGCTCACGGCTGCATCAGGGAGGCTGGCCACGCGCTCCCGGTGTGTGCAGGCCCCGGCCCTGACATGCCCCCTGTGTTCTTTCAGGCCATGGCGAGTGCCATTGTGGAGAGTGCAAGTGCCATGCGGGTTACATCGGGGACAGCTGCAACTGCTCGACAGACATCAGCACCTGCCAGGCCAAGGACGGCCAGACCTGCAGTGACCGCGGGCACTGTGTCTGTGGACAGTGCCAGTGCACGGAGCCAGGAGCCTTTGGGGAGACGTGTGAAAAGTGCCCAACCTGCCCTGATGCCTGCAGCACCAAGAGGTACTGGGTGGACACACACGCTCACACGCACACACACGCGCACACACGCACGCGCACACACGCATGCGCACACACGCACACACACACGCGCGCACACGCGCGCACACGCACACACACACACACACGCACTCACACGCATGCCTGGGTACTCCAGCTGGTCTCCCCCTCACAAGTCTCGCTCGGCCCTTGTCTTCCAGCCAGGGGCCCTCGGGGCCAGGCCAACCTCTCACAACGTCCCCAGCTCCCCACAGCCTGGGCTTCCACCCCCCACCCCCCACCCCCCTTGCCTTGCTGGGGAGCAAAACTCTTACAAAAGTTAACTCAGCTGGCGTTTCCCAGAATAGCGTCTTAGAAACACTGCTTCCATGGGGATTTTGTAGGAAAATAAAAATAAAACAAAACACCTCCACCGTGATGCTAACCCTAAACAAATTTAGAAATGATGGGACGAATGAGTTAAACGAAATTAAAATGCCGAACACACCAAAAATAGTCTCTCCTCCAAGCCGTGAGTGCTGGTGCGACCCCTCCCCAGTACCTTCTCCCAAACAGCGTGTTTCACAGGGCACTCACTCCAGAAAGGCTGCTCTTCAGCAAAACATAATGAGAAGGTAAATTGCATAGGAAAAGACACCCGACCTAGATAGGGCGTGCCAGAGACAAACTGCAAGGACATTTGGATTTTCTGCTCCATTTATACAGAGAACAGCGTGTTGGCTCTGTGCTGCTGCAGGACGCAGGGTGGGCTGTAGCCCGGCCCCATGGCTCTGCCCTTCACACCCTGCAGGAGTGTGAGAGGAGGGAACTCAGGGGTTCAGGGAGCCAAAGCCTTCTGGGGAGCAAGGGTGACGTTTGCGGCAGAAATGTGTGGCTGAAACAGCTGTGTCATCATTATCTGTGCCAAGAGGCCAGGAGGCAGGGCGCAGATCATGAGAAACAAATAATAACACAGCGGCCTTTCTCTGGCCGGGGCAGGCAACTGCGTGATTTTGTTTTGGCAGTGTTCCCTTGCTAGAGCGTCTGGCTCTCGCTGAGGGAAACGAGTTCATGCTCCTGAGCCGCATGGCTGCCGGGCAGCCGTGCTCAGAGCTGCGCTGGAGCAGTGAAAGCCAGCCCCGGGGTGAACACTTGCCTCTAGTGAGCCGGGCTCCCGAGTGCGAGGCAAAACAGACAGGACTGAGTTTGGTTTAGTTCATTATGTGGTGCCGGAGGATGCACTTCCTGCCTGCTGAGGTGCGGAGCCAGGCAACGTGGTAGAATTCTCTCCTTCCGGGCAGGGACCCTGGGTTCCCTTCTGGCCCGGGCACATCTTGAGCAGCCTGCACCCCTCTGCCAGGGGCGTCTCGCATGTGGCTATGCTGAAGAGCAGCCTCTGGGCGTGCAGCCAGAGACTAGGAAGAAAGGCCTGGTGACCTCCTTTTAAAAACCAGCCAATGGGAGCCCAGCGGGCTGCACCCCACCGTGGGTGGGCAGCTATTTGTTCCTTGTCCATGAGCTCGCACCAGGGTGGGTTTGATGGCAGCCACCATCAGCCCTAGAGCAATGCCCACCCAAGCAGCCCCAGGAGGAAGCCAGGTGCCAGCAGCGGGACTCATTTCTGAGCATTGACATCACAGGCATTCGCTCCACGTGGCCCCGCCCGGCGCCCCGCCCAGATAACCGCCCCTGCCGCACACTGGAGAATCTGCTCTTGGTCCACAGGGCGTACTAGATGAATGAGGGCGGAGGGCAAGCGGGCAGCACCCAGGGAATACATAAAAAGAGATAAGACCCTCACCTTCCCGTCCTGGGGAGCAGGCAGAATTGCCCAACGGTCAGGTCAGGGACTCCAGGGGCAAGCACGGAGCCTTAACATGTGTACAGCACTTAGGTCCAGGGAGACAGATTTTGCAGTTGACTCGATTAGCCATTGATCAATCCCAAAGGAACAGAGAGATACCAGAAAGGGAGCTCCCTCTCCCTCCCCTCCCCGCCCCTCCCTTCCCTCTCCTCTCCTCTCCTCCCCACACTGACCCTCTGTCTCCTTCACAGCCTGGTTGCAACTTTTTTTTTAAAGCAAAGTCCTTGACAGTGACTTCTTTAGGGCTGGTTTTTGACTTGCCACTTTGTTGGGAGCCACCTGTCCTTGAAGTCCTAAGTCCCTTTGTTTCACCTGGGCTCTCCCAGCAGCCAGTTGCCACTTTCTGACCAGACTGACCTAAACACTTCCGGGGGAGGGCCACACTCAGCCTCAGCTGGTTTCAGTTAGCATACTGCTAAACAAAGCCTCCGCCGCATGCTATTTTTAAAGGCCAGATTGTGTTAGTACATGGCTGCAGTAGAGGACAAGGTTTGTGGCAGTCCATGGGCACAGACGGTAGACCGATAGGCTCAGATGGATCATTAGGGAGCATTTCCTGGGAGTGGCCCTGAGCTGTGGTTTCATGGCAACAGGCAGGGCATGCAGCTGGAGGCCTGCTGAGTACCGCTGGGCCCTGGCCCAAAGCAGAGCCTCTCTGCCACATGTGAATCCCAAAGGCTGGAGGAGAGGCCGCCAGCATGAATGACCAGACCGGGAGCCACCCTTCCTGGGGCCCCCGCCAAGGCTCTGTAGCCTGCTCTCTGGGGCCCGGCTCGTCAATCGTGGGGGAATGCAAACAGTACCAACTTCTGTTTCTCACTCCGGAATGTTTCTGTGCAGTCAGTCCTAGGAGACTGAGGCTCTGTGGCCAATTTTGGAATCTCGGAATTCTTAAACGTTTAGAACCCTCCTTGCAAATGCTGCTCCACTTTCCCTTTGTGATCTGCCGAGCTGCTTGCCCATCCCTTGCTTTTAATTTTGGGTGAGAACATGTAACCATTCAACCACTTGTATGAGTACATAGGTCCCATACATCTCCTCCTGTCACTACCCCACCGTCAACCCACAATTCTTCACTGCTGTCCACTCAGACTCTCTGCCCACTCCGTTCTCATCCGTGCCTTAGAACAACTGTTGTCATTTTGGTCCGATATAGGTAATTCCTGTAAAAGGCTCAGAGAAAACAGTAGGTGTGTTAGTCTGGGTAGACTAGAGAAACAAATTAGTAGGCACTCATATGTGTATAAGAAAGAGCTTTGATTCTATGATGCTCACCTTCCCGACACAACCGCTGAAGACAAAGCGAGTGAATAAGCAACTGTGGCGAAGAAAGCTGATGGTGCCCGGCTATCAAAAGATATAGCATCTGGGGTCTTAAAGGCTTGAAGGTAAACAAGCGGCCATCTAGCTTAGAAGCAACAAAGCCCACATGGAAGAAGCACACCAGCCTTTGCGATCACAAGGTGTTGAAGGGATCAGGTATCAGGCATCATCAGAACAAAAAATCTTATCATAGTGAATGAGTCGGGGAGTGCGGAGTAGAGAACCAAAGCCCATTTGTAGGCCACTGGACATCCCCTTGCAGAGGGGTCTCAGGGAGGAGACGAGCCAGTCAGGGTGCAGTGTAGCAACGATGAAACATACAACTTTCCTCTAGTTCTTAAATGCTTCCTCCTCCCCCACTATCATGATCCCAATTCTACCTTACAAGTCTAACTAGACCAGAGGAGGTACACTGGTACAGATAGGAACTGGAAACACAGGGAATCCAGGGCGGATGATCCCTTCAGGACCAGTGGTGTGAGTGGCGATGCTGGGAGGATGGAGGGAGGGTGGGTTGGAAAGGGGGAACCGATTACAAGGATCTACATGTGACCTCCTCCCTGGGGGATGAACAACAGAAAAGTGGGTGAAGGTAGATGTCGGACAGGGCAAGATATGACAAAAATGATAATTTATAAATTATCAAGTGTTCATGAGGGAGGGGGAGCAGGGACGGAGGATAAAAATGAGGCGCCGATGCCAGAGGCTTAGATGGAGAGGAAATGTTTTGAGAATGATGAGGGCAATGAATGTACAAATGTGCTTTACACAATTGATGTATGTATGGATTGTGATAAGAGTTGTATGAGCCCCTAATAAAAAAAATTTTTTTTAAAGAAAGAGCTTTATATACAAGAGCAAGTGAACATTGAGGAAGCAACCCAGCCCAGTCCAGATCAAGTCCTTAAGTCTGATATTAGCCCATAAGTCCAATACTAATCTAAAAAGTCCTCTTCAGACTCACGAAACACATGCCATGACGCCGAATGCAGGAAGATCACAGGCCAGTTGGCAGGAAGTCTTGTGGATCCAGTGTCATTGTAAGCATCTCAGCACTGGCAGGGGTCTCCAAGTGGCTTCTCCTCAGGGATGTCTCAGGGAGGGAGCAGAAAGAGAGATGGTGTCCCACCTCCAAGGAGGAAATACAGGAGTTCCCAGAATCCTCAGGAGAAGGCCATGCCCACACAGAGACCTCATTGGGTATATCCTGATTGACCATTGGACTCTACCCCTACACTCTTGATCCTCAAATTGACACCCGATTATGTAACTACCACAATAGGGAGAGTTGGTTCAAAGTTTTAAATGGTCTCTAGGTACTAGATTCAGGGAATCTTCCAATCTCGTAAGCCTGGTTTCCCATTAAGAATTTGAAGTTCAAAAAACAAAAAGTTTTAATAAAAAGAATTTGAAGTTCCATTCCAGTTTTCCTCCTTTTTCATCAAGAGCCATCCACCAGGTCCCTGGTCAAGACACTTAGCGATGGTAGCCAGGTGCCATCCAGTTTCCTCTGGTCTGGTGAGGGGGGATCAGGAAGGTAACCCAAACTACAGACTGGCTCCTTCTCGAATTCCAGGGCCTCTTCCTCAAGTCCTGGGAAGTCACTGTTTGGTTGCATAGCCCCCTTTACTCCCACCTGCCTTCCAGCCCTGGGTGAGAAGACGAGGTTTTTGACACCTGAAAAGAGTGACAGTCCCGGAAACTCGCCAGGCAGTTCTGCACTGACAGGGTGACTGTGAGTCAGCATTGGCTCGGTGGCAGTGAGCTTGGCTTGGGTGGTTCAGCCCCTGGAAACCACTAGTATGTATTGGGCGCTGTATGCTTGCCTGTTCTTGTCTTTTTATATAAATAAGGGAGAAGTACAAATTGATCCTTTTGTGATTGACTCATTTACGCCTGCATCATCTCGCCATGCTGCATCCGTGGTGTAGCGTGTGTCGGGGCTGTATTTCTCCTATGGGCTGAGCGGTACAGTAGTCCATCAGGAGCATGTGCCACACTCTGTTTACCCACTCACTGTTGAAGATGGACGTTTAGGCTGAGCAGTGCTCCGGTGAACATTGCCTCTCTTTGCACGAATACATTTGTCTAAGTTGCATGAGGTCCCAGTGATCTTATTTTGTCTTCTGTTCTGCATTTTTGGTTCGATTGGATCCCCTACTATTAAAGACAGGGGCCCTGCCCTGGTAGCAGAGTGGTTACGAGTCGGGGCTGCCAACTACAAGTTCAAAACCACCAGCCACTCTGCAGGAGAAAGGAAAGCTTTCTACACCCGTGAAGAGTGTAGAGCCCTTGGGGAGGTTCTGCCCTGTCCTGTAGGGTCCTTGTCAACTCCATGGCAGTGGGAAGGAAAAAGAAAGGACCGTTTAAGGAAACTAGGCCCCATAGTTTTGCCCCTGTGTTTTCTTTCAGGACCTTTATAGTCTTTGTCTTAACAGTTTGATCATGGGTTCATCTTGTATTCGTTTTGATGGATGGTGTGAGGGCTGGCTCTGCTGCATTTTTCTCCGTGTTGAAATCGCCTGTCCGCTTTTCATGTTCAGAGAGTGGTGTGAAGCTTGACGAGGCTTATCTGAGCCTAGCATCCAGTTTGTCACCCAGAAACTTACTTTCTTAGAACGAGTGTCTCAGGCGTTTGATGCACAGAGGGCAGTTGGAGTTGGCTCCCGGTATCAGAATTTGGAAGGTCTGCAACATGAGCCTTGGCATATAGACCAGACATGCCTCTCAATTCACATACGTATGTCTCCCACCCCACCCCAGCACCCCCCAGCTTCCCTGCTTAACAGAAAGCTTCCCTGAGGGCAAACACTGTACCTGAAGCTGAGGAGGAGCGAAATCTTTCAAGTTGTTGTGGGGTGTGTATTGTTTGGAGCACAGTGGTGTGTGTGAAGCTGTGTATGCCACAACGTCTAACGCCCACATGTGTTTCTTCTTTCCCAAAGAGACTGTGTCGAGTGCTTGCTGCATCACTCGGGGCAACCAGCAGGTAACCAGACGTGTCACAACCATTGCAAAGACGAGGTGATCACGTGGGTGGACAGCATTGGTGAGTGTGTGCACGAGGGAGGGGCCCTAGACTTCTGCCCTCTTTAGAACCTTGTCGGGTGCCTAGAGATTTTATCTCTCCAGGGGGCCACCTTCAGGGCTATTAGGTAGAGAGGGAGTAGTTTGACTCTGGAGTTAGAAGGACAGCCTGGATTTTGTGGCCATCACAGCTGGATCCCAGGTTCTGCCTTGTGCTGCCCCCGTTCCGGTGCCCAGTCCCTTGCTAGCCACCGTCTCTTTGCCTGAGCTCTCTGGAAAGTCTGGGGCATAAGTAATATCTGCTGGAATAAGTCATATCCTCTGCTACGCAAACTCCACGTAAGTTGATTGTCACTTCCTGAACGTCCAGGGGAATGTCCTGGTCGGTCTGAGCCTCCGTGTGGTCATTCTGGAAGGCAGGCACCCTCTGCGGGATCCTGAGAACCCTCTCCATCCCGCCAGCCAGTGGGGGGACATGTGAGAGGAAAGTCCCCAGGGAGATATTGTTTGCTCGCATGGGTCAGACCTTGATGGGAAGCATATTGCTCTACACACATTTCCTGGGCTACAACTGAGTTGTCCGGCCACATTTAACTACAAGGGTGGCTGGGAAATGTACTCCCAGTCCAGAAGGAAGACTAGGTGGATAACTAGCCAGCCTCATCTGCTTTGGACCACCGCCCAGGCTGGTTCATGTAGTGCTGCAGTTAGCGAGGGAGGCAGGCTTCTCAGTGGTGTCCAGGCTGGACCTGGGACTGAGTGCCACCCTGGCTCCTCCCCCACCTGCAGGACATCCACTTTTGCCCACCTCCCCCACCCCTTGTTCTCAGGTCTTACCCCGCACTCACGTCTTGGGCTCATCTCATGCTGAAAACTCTAGTGTTAGCCACCCCCCCAACCCCCACCTTTACCCTGTGGACAAATACCTACAAGTGCTCTCCACTGGACGCTGCCGGAGGAGATGGGCTGCCTCTTTGGCTAACTGGGAAGATCAGACACAGGCTCCAAAAATTTAATT